CCTAGAGTCTGTTATATTTTTACGTAGTCCTTCCATGTGTCCTATCAAAGTCTCCCTCTTGCCTCGTCGAATCCGTCTGCTATCTCTCTGGTACATGTATTTCACTCGACCCCTGCCCCTCCCATCTGTGCTATTCGAGGCGTAATTCGTCCATCCCTTGCACCTGGGTGACTAATTTGGGGCTCAAGCCTCAGAGTAAGTCTAATGGTCACGCCTTTGCCACATGGACCTACTGCCAGCCAACTAGCTCCAATCGCCGCCTCGTTTATCCAGTCTCTATTCCTAATACCAAGTATATGACTTGCCATGCCCTAGTTGCTTGTGTGCCAACCCACAAATGTTGTGGTACTGCTGGCTTTGTTTGGGTTCAATGTAGAACCACAATGTTTGTGGGTTGGCACACATACTTCTATACAACGAAAGGAGACTGCGACCACGCAAAAGGCCACACCATCTTGGTCTTCATACCTTCGATTATTATTAACAATTAAGATATAACTATTTAGTAAACTGGATTTAGAAGATTATCGGGATATTTTTGCCTTTATACCTTGAATTTAGAATATAAGTTGGGTGCAAAGGTTCTTTAATTGTTTTCATTGGAACTCCAGGGTATCTAGGAGTCGTAGTTGTTGTTCATCAGATGACTCTTTTCTCGAGCATTGTTATCCTATCTCTGTCGAGCTTTCATCTCTTGTGTGACCGACCTCAGAACGTATTTGGATCACTCTTCTCCACTCTACTTTAAAGCTGGCGCACCCTAAGTAGTAGCTTTAGATTGGTGCGATTTTAGGTTTAATTTAATTTATAATTGAGACGATATGATAAAAGGTCATATGACCTGTATTTAAACATAATTATGTTACACTGCTAAACACTTGGTCTCAAGTGTTCTCTGACCCTTTAATATTCACCGGTCCTATTCCTTATCTTGTGAAACTAGTAGCCAGTCAATATCTATGCCCAGTTTGATGCAGTCGTTTAACAACATTGGCAACCAATGTCAGTCTATATAGGCATTATTTTGCTCACGTTGTGCCCATTAATTAATTAATTATATGTAATGAATCTTCTTTCTGTATAGCTTTTTAAAATTATTCGATACTTTGATATTGGAATACCTTTCATTTCGTTTGAGAAGGCGGATGGATGGGATTCGTAGATTGGCCTCACTGGATAAATCTTATCCTTTTGTCTGCTGAATTGTGAGAAGACCTAGGCTCATCGTCCTACGACCCCGATGACTCCGTGTTGAGCTTTCGTCCATCATGTGATGGGCATCGTCAGAGCCAGAAACCATTATTCACGAACAATCATCAAAAGCACTAAACCAAGAAAGCTGGCAGGCTGAGATCCTACTTCTTATACCTCAGTTTGCGATCTTAATGTGTTGTTCCATGATTTGGTTGGCCGTTTTATGCTTGTCCTA